CTTTCTCAGGAACCAGTTTTTAACCTTGTGTGAAGTGTGACAAAGCCTACTCTCATGGTTGGATTTTTCACCTGGCACAGGCCTGATAACCCTGGGCTGTGAATTCTAAATATTAAAAAGGACATAATCTTGCAGAACAGCATAGCCTCTGGATGGCTTCTCCGGGTTCTGGAACTGACTGTAGGGGCCCATCCTTTTTTGTGATTCGCACAGTCTTATACATGTGGTTCTTTCCCTACACCAGACTTGGCAGTGTTCTGCTGGTGTGGGTTGAGAGCTAGCAATCATTGATGGTGTTGTTAGAGAAATGCAGAGTGCCTTATATTCTCTTGAAAGAGTTTTCATCAGCGGGACACATTTTTTTTGCCGCCTTGACAACGATTTCTCTGCCTTGTTTCTCCATGTGCTGATGGTATGCCAGGAATCCTGCAAAAAGCCATAAGAGGCTTCAACTACTCTGGTTGATGCTACCTAAACAGAGGCACTTCAGCTTGAAAAGGAACTGAATTCTGCCTTGGGGGTTCCAGTTGCTAGTCCATGGTATGCAGTAGAGATGTCCACTGTAATATATTGTTTTATGTCCTTATTTTAAATATCCACTTTGATTCTTAGCCACCTTGGGAGTTAGAGGAGAGGTAGAGCATAAATTTAAAAAGATCCTGGCCTTTTGGGATGCCCACTGACCCAGTCCAGAGCACACATGCTACATTTACTCTGGTTATTGTGAGGAAATAGGTTTGCCTGGATTCTGGGGGATTTGGGGCAGTTGGAAGACTTACTAGGCACATCATCATGCCTATGAATGCCTCTGGATGTGGCTGGAACCAGAGGTTTCTCTGATCAAACAACATCTTCATTGCTGTACGGATGAGATCCCTCTTGTGAATTGTCAGGAAAAAAAAGATGATTGCAGCTGCTTCAGGAGAGGGAAAAGAGTTGGAGCATTTTGTTGCCTCATTCAGGAAATGGCAGAGAGGGGGGGTGGCGGGGGGGTGGGGTGTCAAGGGGAAGAGAAACTCGTGTCTTAGCCCTGAAGTTATGACAGCAAAATCAATTTGTCTCTTTGGATGTTGTCATTGTTGGGAGTAAAATCCATCCGGGACTAAGAATTCATTGCAGTCTCTTCTTTTAAAAAAGAAAGAGCAAGAATAGTGTCTGAGGGGTGAGATTTCAAATATGATGCCCTCCCTCTTCCGCCGCCGCCACTTTCTCATTAGCACAAGCATTCTAAATATCCTGGTCTCTTGATATTTTCTATCTTTTCAAAGGTTCCAGGCTTCATAACATTTGTCTTAGAAACAGTTCTATTGAATGCATTGTGACCATGAATGCGTAATAAATGCAACATTCTCCAAGGTAGAAATTGCTTTCTGTCCAGTGTGTTGTCAAAGAGCCCCTGATACAGCAGGGAACTGTAGTTGTTTGGCTGTGGAGAGGCTATGCAGTGGGGCGAGGCTTTTGGACCCTTCTTTGAGGCAAAACGTAGTGTCTGTTTCCCATCCCTGCATTCACTTCCTTGATGCCACTGGATCGGCAGGCTGTGAAGTATTGCCTTAATGTCCAGGGCAGGTACCCACTCCTGGGGCAGGATGCAAATTCCTGTCTGGGACCTCACAGCTTTAAAATGCAAGGACAAGGCTGATACGCCTCTCCTCTCCTTACCCATTTTGCACTGACCGCTGCACACGGGCTCACTTGCTGCCACCATCTTTTGATGTGCTTCGTGATCACCTTTTGTCAGGCCTTTCTCCAAGGAACTCAGGGCATCGTCCATGGGGCTTTCTCCTCTTTAATTCATGTGGCAACCGTGTGCATGGTTTACAGGGTAATATATGCAGAACTGGCACTGTGTTTCCCATGATTTCTAGGATAGTGGCTCTTCTCTGCTGCCCTCACTCCCAGTCCAGCAGCTGCAACCACAGAATGTAGTCACTTTATGAGGTGAGGGCCATAACTCAGAGGCAAGGCACGTGCGTTGCATGCACATGATCCCAGTTCTGATCTGCAGCACCTCTAGTTAAGGTAGGGAAAGGCCCCTGTGAAAACCTGGAGAGCTGCTGCTGTTCTCCAGCGCAGCAAGTAACACTTGGCTAGACTTGTGGTCTAACTCTGTGTAAGGCAGACTCCCCTCCTTCTGTTTTAAATGTGCTCACTTTTTAGAAGGATATGGACTGCTTTCTTTTTAGGGGAAAGACAGTAGCTCGGTAGCTGAGTGCATTCTTTGCATACAGACTGCCTGGGTTCAAGCACTTCCAGCTAAAAGGGTCGGGTAGAAAGCACTCTTTCTGCCTGAGTTTCTGGAGAAGTACTAATAGGTAGGCAGTTCTTATATGAAAGGCAAGGCCACTGTTGGCATCTTTCTATTGTAGACATAGGGTTGAAACTGAAAGAGTCCCTTGGCTAAGCCCACTGAGTGCTTGCAGGTGCTTTTATTCCTCCACTCGCACACTGTGAACTGGTTTGTGCAATCACAAGAGGAGAAATGCACTATGGTGGGTTATTTTTCCTGGTGTGTGTGTTGGCAGATTTCCCTAATTATCTTTGCTGCTGTGGCTTCCCATGTTGTGCAGACCTGGGCAGTGTGGCTTGTTTGAGAGCATGGGCAACAACCCTAAAATAACAAGAGCCCATGGGTAGTTCTTCCACCGGACAAACCATGATGCCTGGGTTCAGATGTCAAGCTTTGCCCACAAGAGTGCTTTGGGAAATGTGACTGATATACATGGCAGAGTTAACAAACCACCCATGTGGCTATTGCCTGAACTGGGTCACTGTTTCCCATTGTCTGCTCAAGCTTGTAAGCCTCATGGGGCAGATAACTGTCGTTCCTACTCTTTTAAAGTGCCATGACACAATTTTAATAATATTGTAGTACTGATATCTTTAAAGCATTTCCTCCCACGTTTCAGCCAAAAAAGGCTCACAGGGCAGCTTCCAAATATTATTAAGCCCAAGATTTGGATGGAGAAATAGTGATTTCTTGCTGGGCTTAACCACTGTGCTGCATTACACACAAAGCCCTGGCTTGTAAGATTGTGTCTTCTGTAAGGATCTAGCATGCTATTCAGAGAAGCATTAAATAGAAGTGTTAGCAGTTTATTAGGACTAGAGGGCTGCTGAAAAAGCCATCGCCCATGAAGGCTTTCATTTCTAAAAGCCAGCTTCTCTTTACATTGCGCACTGGCACATAACATAAGAGGCTGTAACTCTCCAGCCTTCACTCTGAGTGTGCTTATGGATTCCTTAACTAGTGCAAAATTCTATTTAGTCAAAGGCTTTCTGTGGCAGCAGCTGCCAGCAATTCCGACCCAGCTTCAGCATCTCTGTTGGCTGTTGCTCAGAAAAACATGTCATGCCCAACCTGTCAGTCCAGATTGCTGGCTCCAAGATTGACAGGGAAGTAGTCATCAGGTAAAGGCTTAGCTTCAAACCGTGAGAATGGGAGGTTTTAACAATATGTGGCAGCGCTTCCTTATTACAGCCTTTCCCTTGACTGAAGACGGGCAATTTTATATAGCGGCTTATGAGGGAGGCTGTTTTTCTCTCTGGGAAGGCTGACTTGTGAGATTTTCCTCCTTCCTCTGCTATCATTCATAGACAATGGCAGCCTTCTGTGCAAAAAGGAAATGTGTGGCTTGTGGGAGAAACACGCGCATTGAGCATTGCTGTGCCCAGGTCTGTGTCTATACATAATTCGCTCTACCTAAGCTCCGAATGTGGCTTCTGAGCAACACATTCAGCATTTTGGAAGACCCTGTTCTTGTGTGGCTTGTTTTGAAACGCAAC